ATATGGCCCCCAGTATCGTGGATACCTGCAAACCAGGCCTTTATAACGCCTCGAGTGTGTATGTACAGGTCTATAAATCACTAGCTCACACACCCACAGACTAGGAAAACTAATGGCCCCCGCATTAGGTGCATCAAAACTCAACAAACCAGGATCCGATAATGGGCGAGTATTAATACCGAGATCCAACACTCCCGTTCAGAACTATTGGTACAAAATTGTCCAACATCATATACTCGTAAATGATAAATACTTCCCAAAAAAAAGTAAACATCTCATGCATTCTCGCAATTTTGCTCCTTGCAAATAACACTGGACCATTCTCAGCCATTAGAATCCCCCACAGCTTCTAAAGACCAGCCTACTAGATGACAACATTACTTCACTTCAGTACAGTTCAGGTAAACCGGTCAAGAATCAATACAATACGCAGACCAATATCGCTCCCACCTCACCAGAGAGACGAGGAGGCTCGAATCTCAACCTGAGCAACCAACCACACGCCCCCCCAACCCACCAAACGCCCCCACACACTAACAGATTCATGGCAAGTAACACCCACGCGAAATATATCCGGTAACACCTATACTGCGTGCTAGAATAACCGGCTTATGCCCAACAATCTGAGTAGCAACAAGTGTCAAGACTAGATCTGATTAGCTTGGACGAGCAGCGCTCGTAAATGGCCTGCTGAAACACATAATAAACCATGCACCCCACGGCCACTTGGAGAAAAGCTACTACAGGCTGCCAGGAAGTCCTTCCTTTAATTTATCTGCCGCTTCAGCTACCTGATTAAAAACTATGAAAGAGGTCATGCTGCTTCTGTGGAGCACCTGTAGACCAGGTCCAGGATGCTTCTACTGGTGCACCCTGTAGAGTCAGGATCCTCTCTATCCGGAGACGCACCTCGTAGAAGGTCCAGGATTCTCTCTATGTGCACTGTAGAAAGGTAGATGCTCTCTACTGGTGCACCTGTAGAAGGTCAGGATTGCTCTCTATGGAGCCACCTGTACGAAAGCGTCAGATGCTCTCTATGGAAGGCACCTGTAGAACGGGTCACGGACTGCTCTCTTACTGGTGGCACCCTGTAGAGGTCAGGACCTCTCTATGTGCCCTGTAGAAGAGTCAGGATCCGTCTCTACACTGGTGAACCTGTAGAAGGCTCAGGATCCTCCCTATGGTGCACCCTGTAGAGTGCAGAGTATCCGTGGAGTCCATTTTGAACTCCTCAGCCTGCGGAGAAAGAAGAGCTCGTTTTAGGTGATGGTGTTTGTGTGGATGAAGTGCATGTCAGGTCCTCAGTGATAGTGCTCACCCGCAAGCTCGCTGATCTCTCCACATTGATGGGCGATGGGGCATGTCCCTCTCTCGCTGCTTCCTTTGGTAATCCAAAAACAGCTCCCTTTGTTTTGCTGAACCGTTGAGATGGAGGTTGTTATCCTGGCACCCAAGATGTCAGCCTGCTTTTCGACCTCCTCTACGCTGCCCGTCCTCAGTCGCGTCAGTGATCTATGGCCGATGACGGTCGTTGGTCGTCGCAAAATTCACGATGGTGTTGGAGCTGTGTGTGGGCCACGCGTCGTGGTGAACCGGGAGTCAGAGGAGGTAAGGGCTGAGCACGCAGCTTGAGGGGATCCGAGTGGGACTTGAGGATCAAGGTGGAGATTTGATGTTTCCACCCACACTCAGCCCCTGGGGTCCGCCGCCAGGGAAAGCCTTCAGCGATCCACGTCACAGAGGGCCTGTTCAACCTATTATTATGTTACATTCATTTTTTTTCCAGGCTGTCAAGCTTTTACTTTAAATAGCTAAACAGTGTTGTTGAGCAGGTAATATTTTCTCGAGATGGGCACGTGCACATACTTGGGGTACACAGGGCACACGTATGGTCGCGTGTTCCGTTTTATAGATGTATTCTCAGTTTTGCTTACCTGTAATCCTGTTACTGTTGCATTTCTGTCAGACAGAATGGCAAAAGAAACACTTAAAGCTGCTTTTTGTTATAGACGTGGCAGGATGACTATGGACCAAATTGCAAGAAGCGGGGCAACCCTAACCCTACAAGGCCGGCCACCCAAGCTGACCCAAAAGAACTGCACACCCCCGACTGTTTGTCGCCTCACGTACTCTGCGTCCCTTGGGCGATCTGGTCGCAACTGGAAAACACAGAAAGACTTCAGCCGACCCGGCAAGAAGCACCGTACGAACTGCAGTCGCGTAGAGTGGAAATAACTTCCTTACCAGCCAGGCGGCGGTAGTGTGTATTGTCTTCAACAAGACGCACGCAAGCCACCTGGAGACAGACATGCTTGATACAACGAGAGAAGAAGACAGACTGCGTGATATAACAAACAACAATACGTGTGCGTTCATTTTCCTCTATCAGACGAGAAGCTCCATGGGGGTTTTCGAACCCGTGTCGAGAGCTGGAGTTAAATGAAAATCTCAGATTTAGCCTTCTTAAGAGTTTTGTCTTGGGTCCCTCACTTCCCGTCTTCGTTCTCATGCACATGATTCGCTAGCTGAACACGCCATAAGAAGTGTTTTATTTTGCTCGCAGCCCTTTGGCCGACGTGGCCCAGCGATTGCAACATGTCGACATCTGTGGGTTTTCGGCCGAAAGGCGTGTCGGCACGGCTGTAAATACACGACGGTGCGGGACACACCAAAATCCTGCAAAAAAAAGGGTAGGCGCGTGTCGACAGCTCATCGTCTGGCCTTCGAGCCCTCCAATCGGCAAAAATTGGCTTGTGTGTCGGGCCTTTACCTCAAAACCTAAGCCAAGAGCCAAGGGCCATACACAGTCCAGTTTAGCCCGCGATCTAATGGTGCGTAAAATAAATAGTCAACACAGAACAAATTATGCAACATCTAAACCTTTTAGTTCTTTTTGTTTATATTTTTATACAATATCTCGCCATAGAGCTAAACGTTAGCTTTTTTAATTTTCTTTCAGCAGTATAAGATGTTTGTGTTTTATTTTAGCTTGTAGCGTGAGGCCTTACACTTTCTTATTCGCTCGCCTTTATTTTTTATTTTCTGGTACCCCTCTCTCAGAAGCTACAACACACACTCATAGCATCACACTCTCATTGTTCGACCACACGTCTCACTACCACCATACCTCCGTCTGCCCCTCCACCTCTCACGCCGCTCACGCCACTTCATTAAACTTTTTCCTGCGGCCTTGACTGGCTTAGCCCACAACAATGTCTAACGGGATTCGTGTCCTTAGCCTCTATGAGATGATTAAGGCAGATAACCATGCTTTGTACTGTTGACGAGGGCCAGGTTTACCGAATCAACTGTAATTCGGGGGGCCACCAAAAGGGGGAAAGAAATCATATTTTGTTCATAGTCCTTCTGTTGTTGGTTGGTGATGCAAAATTTGGTGCAACTTGCTGCAGTGTTGATCAGTTTCATGAACTGTTAATCTTGTCATTTTTCAAGGTGCAGCGAGCATTATAGGGGCCCTATTCTGCTAATTTGTAGGTTTCATCATTATATTTTGTTCCTTACATGCTTTATAGTTCAAAAAGCTCTTTATTTTTCTCATACTGCGGGTGCTGCAGCACAGCTTTTCACCCTCTGTCTGAAACCAGAGCCCAGTCTGCTCTGATTGGTTAGCTGGCTAGCTCTGTTGTGATTGGTCAACTGCTTACAGATGTACCACCCCATAGCTCATCACAAACAATGTGTTGGAGAGCTAGCCAATAGAAGCGTGAGTGTTTACACTCTGGAGGGAACAGTTTAGCCTTTGCAGACCATTTACATGCACAGAAACCTATATACAAGGTTCCCGCGGGGTCTTAAAAAGTCTTACATTTGATAATCAGAATTTAAGGCCTTAAAAGGTCTTAAATATGATCCAACATTTTTTAAAGGTCTTAAATATGATTTAAAAGGTCTTAAAAATTATTGAATTTGAAAGGTACTTCTGTGTTTTGCGATCACGTCTAAATGTGTTTTGGGGGAAATGTCCGGGCTGCAAAGTAACCAGTGGTAATAGCCTTATATAACACACTACAGGAAAGGGAAACCCCAAAAAGCCTAGAACGGCCATTTTTAATGTTGTACATGGGACGACTTCCATATATTTTTCTCTGTCACCATCGCATTTAACTGTCACCTTAATCAGCTTCCTGCCATTCCAATCTGCTTTGATCTTAAAGCACATCATCAAAATACAGGAATAGCTTTCTGCATTTCGGATAATTTTTGAGATATTCTTTCAAATTACGTCTTTACATTTCCATATTCCCCATGGCTATTGGATTTACGTCATCCCTTCCATTGTTTACCTATATAGCTTCCCTTTGTTTGCATCAACCCTCGACAGTAAGGTAGACAGTAAGTTCACCCACAGGAGCGGAAAGTTAGTCAGTGTGAGAACGCCTCTGAGCCCCCCTTCCCCCACTTTATTTCCTTCTCTCACAGAGGACTTTGCACTTCACAGCTCACTGTTCCTGTCAACGGTGTGGTATGTGTTTGCTTTACTGTGATTAGGAATTATCAAGGCGCATGGGATCTAATGTTTCTGTGTCAGGAAGAGACTTTGTTTGTGGACACCAGCTTGACTCAGAACAAATCACGCTTCACTCTTTTTGATGAAATAAGGAAGAGGTTTATGATGTCATTAGATATTGAATTAGCAGTCCAAAGCAAACAGACGTTAGTAAGCCACCAAGAGTGTGAATGGAGGAGACAATGTTTGGCTCACTCGATTAATGTTTTGTGTGTGTGTGTGTGTGTGTGTGTGTGTGTGTGTGTGTGTGTGTGTGTGTGTGTGTGTGTGTGTGTGTGTGTGTGTGTGTGTGTGTGTGTGTGTGTGTTTGTTCAGCTCTGTTTGCACCATTCTGTGTGTGTGCCAAACCTCATACAGTCCCATCACATAGGTCTTGTCTCACAGGTTTTTCCTACACGCCCACAAATAAATGCACAAATGCTTTGACACAAACACCCACAGGGCGTGGAAAGCTTGTCCCTTTTTATAGTTATTTTCTAACGCTTCCAGTCAGACGGCTTTTTGTCTGCTTACCGGGCTCAGGGTGTGTGTTCGCTCCGTTTGCCCTCTATCTTTCAAACACACATAACACACTCAGGATGGCAGGGGAGTGTGTTCCTGAGGGTCCCAACCTAGGGGAGATGGGCGAAGAGGAACTGTGGGAACTGATTAACGACAACCGCCACCGGATCTCCCTGGGGGTGAAGCCGGGCATCTTGATCCCTTACCTGAGGCAGGCCAGGGTGCTCACGGAGATGGACGAGGACGAGATCGTGTCGTGCCACAACCTCACCAACCGCAGCATGAGAACCAGTGAGATTTATGACTTGCTCGTCTTGGATTTGAAACAAAGTTAATAATCTGCCATAGGGGTTACAGAAGACATAATATGTCTCAGTTTGTAGGTAACAAGTGGATTGTTTACGTCATCTTTTACTGCACCTGTTTTTTTACACTGACTGCTTAGTGTATTGACTCCAAGAGATAGAGGATAGTCACACTTTAGGACACAAACTAATATTTATTTGCTTTAAGTATTTGCTTTCATGTTTGTCTTCTTGCTTAGTTTTATTATTATTAATATTATTGTATATGTTTTTTACTGTGATTATTGTAAATAAAACATGGTTTTGATGCGATACAAAACGATGATATATCATTTCAGATCAAGTCTGAAATCTAGTACAATAGAGGGCTTCACTCTCCCCTTATTAAATGATGGGACCCTGTATCTCCTCTTTGATAATAACAAATCAGTTCGATTTATTTTTTCTTTGGGCAGTAATACAAAAAATGTATTTTACTTCTGTAGTGACACTTGGGGAAGTACTTATGTTTGGATGAAGTCTACTGCTTTGAAGGTGAGTTATGATACTGTACATTAACATTATTCCAGGCCATATGCTGGACCTGCTGAGGACCCAGGGCAGGAATGGTGCTGTGGCCTTGCTGGAGAGCCTGATGATCCACTACCCCCCCCTGTACACCCAAGTCACTGGACGCAAACCCAGCACTGAGCCTTCAAGATTCAGTGGTCTGTAGCTTTAAGTGTTCCTGCGTTTTAAGGGAATATTTGTCTCTTTGTTTTACTTGCTTTTGACTGGTGTTGCTCTCCTGGCAGGCCTGATAAAGTACTCAGAGCTGACAGAGTATCTGGTCAGAGCAGTAACGGGGATGCAGAAGGAGCTCCAGCAGGCGCGTTACGAGGCGAGCAAGAAAAGCGCTCTCTGTGCCTCCCTGGAGCTGGAGGTCAGGCAGATCATGGAGCATGAGGAGAAGTCCAGATGCCTTCAGTCTGAAAACCAACGCATACGGAGGCAGCTGTGTTCTTTGCAGCATGAAATCACCAAGATGAAAGATGAAAAGTGTGACATGTATGTGCGATACACAGCAGCTATCGAGGATAAATCAGCTGTGAACATGCGCCTCCACGACCTCAACATACAGGTCAGTGATCCTCGATAAACTGTATCACCCTAAAACAACTCAGAAATACTTCTAATATGTTTCTCCTCCCTGAAATACAAAGCTGTGATCTCAGGGGAAAATGTCAGGGCTAAAGAAATTCAATCTGCTTAATGTCAATTTAGAAGCTTATACTAAATATGCCTCGGGAGCCACTTGTGAAATGTGTTTCAGGTCTCTTGAGTTATGAGTAATTTTGGTTTTGGCTCGGGGACTACAATCTTTTAGCAGTTGCATTTTTGGAGTGTGTAGGACCCAGTGTTTTAAGAGCCAGGATCTCTCAGCCTGTGTGACATATGTTGACCGTTGTATTTAAGTCTTCTGACTTTTTTTGGACTCGGAACGAATCACAGACACAGCCCTTTAATTATTGCTCGGTATGACATGATGAGAGTGCCATGACAGAGCAGAGATCAGCACTGTATGCACAGATGTGATACTGAACATGGAGGCAGGGGTTTTGTTTTTGTTATGGCATTTTGGATTTAACTTGGCAATATTTTGTGCTAATTCAATTATTTGATATTTGATCATTATGAGTTTCAAACATTTCAATTTTTGAAAGACAATGAAGCTAGTTCAAAAATGATAGTTTTTAATACATTTGACTCTATAAGCGATGAATAAATATATAAAAACAAATGTTATTAAAGAACTCTGGAAAAGATTGGTAAATAAAAATATTTTCTAGCCTAGATTTATTAGAACATTTGAAATAGATCACAACAGAACAGAGGGGTTGTGAAAAGTCCAATATAAGTATACTATTATTCATACATATTTTCTCTCCTGTGTCTATGACCTTTATTTTTTATGAAAGAAACGGGAAGAAAAAAGTGGAAATATGTTTTTGTTTTCCAGGTGAATTCCTTTTCTAAGGGACTTTTGTACATTTTTTAAACAGGTGAAAAACAAGTTTGCACCCCTCCCCTTTGATTTTGCTTCTCACCTGGATTTTCCCCTTTCTTTCTATTGTTTATTTTAAGACCCTTCCTATTTGTTTGCTGTGACATATGACATATGCTGAAATGGGTGGAGTCATACTTTTTAAATGAATCATTCTGTCTCTCCATATTCATACCTGTATAACATCAATGGCACACACACACACAATGAAGCAACCTTTTTTAGTAAGTACAGAGAGAAATGAAAACTCACTTCGAACAACTCATGAATACTTTTTGTCCTATTCAGAACATAGGGTAAATGTGGAGCCTCTTGTGGGCAATATTAGTATTACAACAAAATGCAAAAAAATAGACCTGCCAAAACATGTTTAGCACCAGTTTACCAGATTATTAATGTGTTGTTAGGACCATGGAAAGGTCCTGGAAGCTCCTTATTTTTCACCCATTTTTTTTTATCATAAGCAACCTATTTGCCAAAATAACTAAATGTATCATATCTACACACAAATGCACAAACTGTTCAGGAGATCACATTTTTTGTATTAAAAAACCCTGCACTCTGTATTGAGCAAATGTTTAGGGCCAGCTCTGTTATCAAAATGAAAAGCCATTTATTTAGCAAAAATGCCAATGATCCGTTTCTTTCCAGATTTGCTGCTTTTCTCTTCCCTTTGACATTGATTCAATACCTTGTGGCTGTCAATCAATGTGTTTAAACATGTAAATAAGCACTGTTGTTCTGGTGTTGTTGCAGATCTACCAGCTGCAGACTGAGCTGCTGAAGGCACAAACAGAGAATGCGTTCCAGAAGACTCCACAGCTGCAGGAGGAACTCAGGAGTCTGCGCTGCCAGCTGTTGAAGGCGGAAAAACTGGACCCAGTGAGAAGAATCACTTAATCATTCTGTGTTATATGCTCATTCATGTGGAGTATCCTCGTTCACACATAACCTTTAGACAGTGAAAGAGTCAATATACACTTGTGTCTCAGTCTTTCATCTTATCTTGTTCTCCACAGGCGCGTCAGGACATCCTGGCCCAGGATCTGGCCGAGGCCATCGACAGCCAGGTGGAACTGGCAGAGCAGCTCCGGTGTTACAGACACGAGAATGAACAGCTGCTCTCGGAAAAGCGTGGGGTGTGTGTTTTATGTTTTTCTGTGTCATCACCAATCAGGAAATTTCATGTAAATTCAGCAAAACAGCTACTGCGTGATGAAAGATGACATTCCAGATGATTTTCCTACTCCTACACAGTCCCATGACGGGAAGAAGCCAGAGGAAAACTTCTGTAAAGAGAAGTACTTTAACCCGTACTTTTCCCGTTTAGTTCCGTTAGTGCCTGGAATTTTGCATTCACACCAAAAAGAGAACTTAGTTCCGAGAACTTTTACCCCCATTTGTAGTGCCTGCTCGAGAGGTGGGACTATCCTGGGGAGAAAAAAGTACCAATTGTGATTGGCTGGGCGAATTGCAAACCACGCCCCGTAAAACTCTGAAAAGTTTTGTGAAGCCGCCATTGTATTTGCTGGCATTAGCATTATTAGCATTAGCCCCGCGCACCAACGGAGAGAGAATAATTTATGGCAACACAACAAAAAAACATGGGAGCGGTGGAGATGAGGAGGTGTCGGTGTTCTGGCGATTTACTCGGAAGGCTTCAGTAGAATCAGCTGGGAGTCCCAGCCGGTGTGAACGCGATCTGTACTTAGTTCCATGGGGGTGTACTAAGTGCTGGCACCAGGTGGCAGATCTAGACAAATATTCATGGGGTGGCAGGAGATTTTGAGGGGTGGCATCCCCTGGCAGAAGTATATGCTGATTTAATCGCAGTCGTCGGTCCTCCCGCCTAGGATGCCCCACCCGTACCCCATCCCGTTGACCAGTAGGATATTTTTATCAGGGTCGACGGTGGGTCAACCGAGAAACCCAAATTTCTTTTATTTTCAATCACCCGAGTAGCCCTGTTTAAAACTCTTCTTAGAGTTACAGTGCTCACCGGTTCACTTTTTCGTACGGTGTTCTGCGCTTCGGAACCATGGGGAGAGGCGGACCCCGTGGCTCGAACCCCAATTAACTACCGGCCCGCCTAAAAGCGTTAAAACTTACCCTCCCCTGTCGCGCCGTTTTGCCTCTTTCTCTAAGCCTTGAGTTCATCTGCCTTCCTTACTCCATCAGACACCCCAGGATTGTTAACTTCTCCTTCTCTGACCAGGTTCAAACCGAACATGAGTCGCTACTTTGTTTTGCGTGATTTGCACAACTAAATTTCCACACCACCACTCCGCAACCCAACCGACCTCTTGTTTCTAACCCCATCTTAGGCGGGAGTTAAGCGACATTAAAACTTCCCGTACGGTTGCAACACCTTACGTAGACGAAAGTTGCCTACTCAGCTATACCTTCCTTTATTATTGGGACAATTCTTTACTTACCTGAAACCATACCCATACCATAGATTAAGAAACCACCCCAGACCGGGGTTTTTTTGTCAAAAATTCGGACTTCAGTCTCTATTCTACTTTGACGTGAAACCTCTAAATTTGATCCCCAGTTCATCCCCATGCCCGTAAGGTGACCTATATTGACAGTCGGCTAAATATACAAAATTCCCGAGACTTATGTGCAAAAAATTGGGATTCGACCTTTACGGTCAATCAGGTGAAGAATTACAACAAAAAGGGACTACATTCAGTTCCAACATGACAACGGTCATTTCACACCCCGGCAGAACATTGACCCAAGGAAACTTAAAACCTATGTACCTTATTATTGAAAACACAAATTTAAAGTTTAAACCTTCCTCCCACTCGTTCGTTAGAACCTTTCTTTGTAAGTCAGTAATTGAATGAGGTTTTTAGCCCATCAAATAAGTTATTTATTTACTTATACCTTAGTTCTGTCACCTTAACCTGGTCGACCTATCCTTATTATACCAACAATTCATCTCTAGGCTTATAAGTAAGTCGTGTTCTGTTCCAGCTACCCTTCTTGTCAATTAATTACACGAATAACGTCGTCGAGAAGTCTCTAAGACACATGGACCGCCAGGATATCTCCACCTTGGTTTGGACGACCAGACCCGTGGAATATATAAATATACATTCCCGAATGACTACACGGGTGTTTACCAGTTGGATACAACAACTCATTTTAACATTAACACCCGAAGGTTGCAATTGTAACCTACCCTATCTGCACTCCNGAAATCTAGGTGTAGTCATGGACTCTGACCTGAGTTTCAACAGTCACATTAAAACAGTTACTAAATCAGCTTACTATCACCTAAAGAACATATCTAGGATTAAAATCCTAGATATGTTCTTTAGGTGATAGTAAGCTGATTTAGTAACTGTTTTAATGTGACTGTTGAAACTCAGGTCAGAGTCCATGACTACACCTAGATTTCTTGCTTTATCTGTTGTTTTGAATATTGCAGACTGAAGCTCAGCGCTAACTTTTATACGTTCTGCCTTGGCTCCAAAAACCATTACCTCAGTTTTATCTTTGTTTAATTGGAGAAAGTTCTGACATATCCAGTCATTGATTTGTTCAATGCACTTACTCAGTGCTTGAATTGGAGCATAGTCTCCTGGTGAAATTGTTACGTAAATCTGTGTGTCATCTGCATAGCTATGGTAACTTATTTTGTTATTCTTCATTATCTGAGCCAGTGGTAGCATGTAGATGTTAAAGAGAAGAGGCCCCAATATGGAGCCTTGAGGAACCCCACATGTCATATTTGTCAACTCAGATGTGTAGTTACCTATAGAAACAAAGTTTTTTCTGTCGTTTAAGTAGGATTCAAACCAATGTAGAACTGTTTCCGAAAGTCCCACCCAGTTTTCCAGTCGGTCTAGTAATATGTTGTGGTCAACAGTGTCAAACGCAGCACTGAGATCTAATAATACTAACACTGAAGTTTTGCCACTGTCTGTGTTTAAGTGGATGTCATTGAAGACCTTTACAAGAGCAGTCTCAGTGCTGTGGTTTGGACGAAAGCCTGACTGGAACACATCGAAACAGTTATTTAAATGCAAGAAGTTACTCAACTGTTCAAAAACAACTTTTTCAATGATTTTACCTAGAAATGGCAGGTTTGATATGGGCCTGTAATTGTTCATTACTGAAGCGTCTAGACTATTCTTTTTTAAGAGTGGTTTAATGACTGCAGTTTTCAGTACAACTTCCTTAGAAAGGCAACACAGTTTTAGGAGATGTTAATATTAT